TGTTCACAATCAAGTATTAACAAGATCGTTCCTTAACTTTTGTCCAGTAGCTTATTTCCTTTGTTCCATTTAATCTTTATTTAAAAAAAAAAATATTATGTAAATTTTTGTAACTTTGTATAATATTTATGCATTACACCCTAATCTTTATTCGGTAAAAATTTAATTGCTAATCATGCATTACTTTTTAAGTAATACACATATTTATGTCTTTGTTGTTTCCGTTCCTTATATTATGCTACTGCTATATATATATATATATATATATATATATATATATATATATATATATATATATACTTACTTCTAGCAGTTGACTACTTTTTTGCGCGACGCTGGTGAATCTTATATGTGTTGTTCTTGTCCTAAGCATTATCGTTCATTACCAACCTGTGATTATTCTATTCAGTAACCTTCTCTAGGTTATAACACTAATTATGGTAGGCTATTCTATTCCATAATTCAGTTTCCTTATCCATAATACTAAATTTATTTTAAATGGTTTAGCATTTATCAATATTAGATACTGAATTTTTATTTCTATGTGACGTTAATTCTTTCATTCCAATTCCAAATCATAGCTTTTTTTTGTTTTAGAAAGGTTAATCTTGAGTCATACTTCTTGGAGCACTTAATGCAGGATGTTGATGTATTCCAGATCATTCTTATTCCAACTATGTATATCTATATCATCAGCAGCTTCCCACCCCAATCATCGGTTCACTGGTTTCGAGAGTGAATATGAACGCTGTTTTCTGTTAGTAGACTCGTTTGTGATTTGAGAAAGAATTGAAAATATATGTTCTAGGGAACAATTTTCTTGATAGGAAAGGACCTAGATGATTTTGGGGAGATTGTAGACATCGGTAAGTAATTGACAGAGATGATTTAAGGAATAATGTTGTTGGAAGGAGAAATATTTAACATGTATGGGGAAAATGTCCATTACAGAAAAGAATAATATTGTGGACAGAGTTCTTGCCAAAAAAGTATTAATATAGAGGATCTATTTAGGGATATGTGTTCAGATCAAGAAAAAAATTATTTTTTGGGAGAAGGTTCCTCGCATTTGAGAACGTGATTTCGTTTCACAAGTGACTGGAATTCATAGCATATATATATATATATATATATATATATATATATATATATATATATATATATATATACCTTTTATTACCTTGCTTGAGGTGAAATGATCAGAAATCTTTTTTTTTTAGTAGGGAAGAATTCAGAATAGAAGATTTAAGAACTAATATTCTTATCAGGATATGATTTTATCATTGTTAGGAGTGACACCCCAATATTCTTCGGGTGAACAAATTTAACGCAGGAGTTGAAGGAATAAGAGCCTTTTACAGAAAAATAATAACATAGATATTTGAATTATAATTATTTTGGCAGGGTAGAAATTAAGTACCTTAAGAAATTGTGTTCCTGTCAAGTAAAGATGAAAACCAATGTTTTAGGGAACAGAGTTCTTAGCAGCAAAGAATTTAAATAGATGTCTTGGAGAACAGAATTATTAGCAGGTAAGAATTTTCCATGTATGATTTAGGGACGGCCATCTTGGACAGGAAGCAAATGAAAACATATGTTTAAGGAAATTGGAATAGATGTTTTAGGGAAAAGATTTCGTAGCAGGGAAATGCTTAAATGGATTATTAGATAAATAATTTAGGAAGCTGTTCTAAGCCGAAGATAATTTGAAATAGATAGTTTCTGGAACAGTGTTTAATATAGATTGGTTTCGAAACCTGTTTTTGACAGTTCAGCGTTTTCCATGGATGAATCAGGAAAGAAAAAACTTAAAGAGGAAAAATTTAAAAAGATTTTCTTAGGGAAAACAGTTCTTGACATGGAAGTATTTAAGAAAATTAGACAGAGTATATCGTTCATAATAGAAATATAGAATAATGATCATTGGAAAATTTAAATGTCTGGTTTAGGGAAAATGTTCTAGCTTGGGAAGAATACATTGTTTTAAATAATTTCACTCCAAGCAAGGGGATAATGCTACTAAGACCCGAGGCTACAGGGAGTGAAAGATAATTAGAAGACTTTAGAGGGAAGAATTGAGGAAATGAACAGTATTCAAGAAGATAGAAGATGGCGATTGACGTTACATTTAAATTTTTTCATGATTCTAGTTGGCAGGGAACCAAGAAATTAGAAGAGAGCTCCACAGGCGAGAAGTGGGAGAAAATAAACTGTTAGAATAGAAAGGACAGTAGCATTCTTCTAGTACAACATTAAAACGGTGGGACCTAGTTGCCAATCTAGTAGCACGCTCAAATCCAAGCAGTCGTGGCTCTAAGGAAAAAAAGCTTATCCGAACAGTTAACATGAAGATATTTGTAGAAAAGTGTTATGGTCCGGTTCCTTGTACCACGGTGATAGTCCAAGGTAAAACCAATAAAGAAGAACGCGAACACAGGTATGGAATAACACAGATATATTACAAACAGGAATATATACAAAGAAGTAGAAGTGTTAGTATGAACAATCAGGTTTAGTAGAGAGAACAATGTAGTCTCGACCATTATCACTATTCCAATGTCTTTCAGTAATTGTCTGAACGCGACTCTGTTTCGGACTGCCTCTGACTCGACTCTGGACTCGACTTGAACTACTGACTCCACTGACTCACTGCTTGCCAACTCCTGAGGCGCAGTATTTATTAAGTATGGAATAGTCCATTATTATTATTATGGGTACGATCCCATAACAAAAAGACAGAGTGAAGCCACGTCACGATGGTGAGAAAATGACTGAAGTCGAGATGCTAGGTAAGGACTAGTAATATTGCAGATCATTTAGTAGAGGGAATAGTGTTCTTGGCAAAAGTGAATGGTTTAGAGAACAGTGTTTTTAGCATCTTATTTTAGAAATGAGATGAGTTAGAGATCTACTAAGATTCCCTTACGTAGACCGCATTACAAATGTCACAGTGCGAGATGGCATCAAGAAGGGTAGGTTGTAATGGTATGCAAAGGTTATAAGATCCAACAATCTTTTCACTACCATCCTATAAAGCACCACCTTAGGCAAAAGAAGAAATTAAAATAATATGACAAAGAAACATTGGAAATTAAATGCTTCTGAAACCCCCTAGGCATCTCCTGTCACAAATGGCACAGTGGGGGGTACCATCAGACAGCAAACAAACAAATGGTAGATCTCATAACCATCATCAAGAAAAGAATGTTAAAATGGTGTGGACACCTCATAAGAACTATTTTCACTACCATCCTGCAAGATTCCAACTTGGAGGAAGCAGATAGGGAAAAATGGGATGACATAGAAGTGTCATAGATCATTCACTGAGACTCTGACAGTGACACGCAGCCGAGACATATGTAGAAAACTGGTCAGATACTCAGCTGAGCAGTGACCCTAAAACTACACTCGGTCATGGGACTGACGGTAATGACGATGATGATGATCTTACAAGGTACCAACTTAGATAAAAAAAAAGTGGAGGCAGACCGGGGTAAAAAGGGACTGGCAAACGTCACTGAGTGGACTGAAAGATCCTTCACAGAGACTCAAGGGCTCAGCTGCGCAGTGACCTCACGACCACACCCAGTCATCGGACGATGATGATGATGATGATGATGATGATGATGATGATGATGATGATGATTTTAGCAGGCAAACGTTTACCATAGATCATTTAAGGAAGGGTGTCGTGCAGAACATTTTTGGCTTTTGGGATATTATCCTTGGCTTGAAATGATTTAAAATAGAAGGTTTACTTCGTGACCAGAACTCAACAAACATAATGGAATAATTTAGAATACGAGGATAAGTAAAAAATTATCCGCATCTTCGTCATAACATTTTTTTAGGTTTGTCAAATTGCCTTCTGCTCGTGTGTGCTTAAAGTTGATACTCTTGTGATCACGTGATCGAAGTTTGATCAGATAATTTTTGACTTACTCTTGTACAAGATCTAGCGAATGGTGTTCTTGGCAGGAAGGGAATTAATGTAGATGGTTCAGGCGATAGTATTCTTGAAAAGAAAGAATTTAATGAATAGAATCCGTGTCAGAAGAGAATTTAATAGTGATGAGTACAGTATAAAAACGTCGTGACGTTGATACGGGAATTAGAGTTTTCGATAGGAAAGAATTTAACATAGATTCTGTTTCTTGACTGAATATTTGTTTTGTTTGATTTTGTTTAGCGGCATATCAACATATCAACATATCAACCTCTATGGGTTATTTAATGCCGAAATCTAAATATTTTGATTGGTTTGGTTGGCTGATTTTGTTTAGCAGCATGTCAACTTCTATGGGTTATGTAATGCCGAAATCTAAATATTTTGATTAGCTTGATTGGTTGATTTTGTTTAGAGGCGTATCAATCTTTATGGGTTATTTAATACCGAAATCAAAATATTTTGATTTGTTTTGGTTTCATGATTTTGTTTAGTGGCATATCAACGCCTCTATGGGTCATTTAATACCGAAATTTGAATATTTTGAATACTATTTTATGACTTCAACTAAATGCGTTTTGAATGCAATTATACGCCTTCAACTACAGATAAAATATAATGTTGGTCATTTTACTATAAATGTGTATTGTTGGTATTTTTTAATAAAATTATATTGCTGGTATTTATATCCTTTCATAGAGTCTTGTTTTTGTTTGGGGGGTTCGCTCTTTGACCATAGCTGGGATTATAACAAGTGCTATCTCCCCGAGACATGGTGGACCTTGGACAAACAACAATTAAAAGGTCGTTCAAAACCTCCAATCTCCCAATCAGAGGCCTTGCTGCCAGATATAGTTTATCGTCATACCCAGGACTATTGGCTTAACAAAACTTGAAAAAAAATGTTTTCAGCAGGAAAGAATTGAACGTCGATGATTTAACGCAATCTCTTCTTTGGAAATTGGTAAAATACATGGTTTAAAGAATATTGGTTTTGGTAGGAAGGAATTTCATAGAGTCTATTCGGTGGAGGCGATTCTTGAAAGGAAAAGTCTTACGGTCACATCACGTTGAAATACCGGTTCCCGTACGATTACAGAAGTTAAGCAACCTCGAGCCTGGTCGGTACTTGGGTGACCGCTTGAGAAAACCAGGTCTTGGATCTGCGAGTGGTGTAATGGGTTGTCTCGGAATTGTTAATCCGAGAGCCAAGCTCTAATTCTAGTTGGGTTCGTTATATTTACTTACGCTCAAATATTCTTTGGAAAAGTATGAATCCATCTCTTCCCCCCATCTATGGGTTAATTAGCAAAACTTGTATCGCTAAACCAATATTATCCTATATATATATATATAAAAATTTTGCAATTTAAATATATTTTCTGGCTTTAAATAGCCTGTAAAGGATTGATAAACAGTAAAAAAATGAATCAACCATTCAATTAATTGAAAGGAAATAAATTAAAGAATAGAATTCTCACCAAGGAAGAATTTAATGTTCATAATTCAAGAAAGGGTGGTCAGAAATTTTCATAGGCTGACTATAAAGAACTGATGCTAGAGATGTGAAATCTTGCATGCATTCATTTCAAATCTTCTTATTAATAACTGCATTGTTTCTTTCCAGGTAAGAGGGTGAGCTGAAAAGTTCATAGGCTGACAATAAAGAACTGATGCTAGAGATGTGAAATCTTGCATGCATTCATTTCAAATCTTCTTACTAATAATTGCATTGTTTCTTTCCAGGGAGGAGGGTGGGCTGAAAAGTTCATAGGCTGACTATAAAGAATTGATGCTAGAGATGTGAAATCTTGCATGCATTCATTTCAAATCTTCTTACTAATAATTGCATTGTTTCTTTCCAGGGAAGAGGGTGGGCTGAAAAGTTCATAGGCTGACTATAAAGAACTGATGCTAGAGATGTGAAATCTTGCATGCATTCATTTCAAATCTTCTTATTAATAATTGCATTGTTTCTTTCCAGTGGGGAGGGTGGGCTGAAAAGTTCATAGGCTGACTATAAATAACTGATGCTATAGATGTGAAATCTTGCATGCATTCATTTCAAATCTTCTTATTAATAATTGCATTGTTTCTTTCCAGGTAAGAGGGTGAGCTGAAAAGTTCATAGGCTGACTATAAAGAACTGATGCTAGAGATGTGAAATCTTGCATGCATTCATTTCAAATCTTCTTATTAATAATTGCATTGTTTCTTTCCAGGGAGGAGGGTGGGCTGAAAAGTTCATAGGCTGACTATAAAGAAGTGATGCTAGAGACGTGAAATCTTGCATGCATTCATTTCAAATCTTCTTATTAATAATTACAATGTCCCTTTCCAGTTATGAAGGTTGGCTGAAAAGTTCATAGGCGGACTATAAAGAATTGATGCTAGAGATATGAAATCTTGCATGCATTCATTTCAAATCTTCTTATTAATAATTGCATTGCTTCTTACCAGGGAGGAGGGTGGGCTGAAAAGTTCATAGGCTGACTATAAAGAAGTGACGCTAGAGATGTGAAATCTTGCATGCATTCATTTCAAATCTTCTTATTAATAATTACAATGTCCCTTTCCAGTTATGAAGGTTGGCTGAAAAGTTCATAGGCGGACTATAAAGAACTGATGCTAGAGATATGAAATCTTGCATGCATTCATTTCAAATCTTCTTATTAATAATTGCATTGTTCCTTTCCAGGGAGTAGGGTGGGCTGAAAAGTTCATAGGCTGACTATAAAGAAGTGATGCTAGAGATGTGAAATCTTGCATGCATTCATTTCAAATCTTCTTATTAATAACTGCATCGCTTCTTTCCAGGCAAGAGGGAGGGCTGAAATTTCCATAGGCTGACTATAAAGAAGAGATGTGAAATCTTGCATGCATTCATTTCAACTCTTATTATTAATAATTGCATTGTTTCTTTCCAGGGAGGAGGGTGAGCTGAAAAGTTCATAGGCGGACTATAAAGAACTGATGCTAGAGATATGAAATCTTGCATGCATTCATTTCAAATCTTCTTATTAATAATTGCATTGTTCCTTTCCAGGGGGGAGGGTGGGCTGAAATGTTCATAGGCTGACTATAAAGAACTGATGCTATAGATGTGAAATCTTGCATGCATTCATTTCAAATCTTCTTATTAATAATTGCATTGTTTCTTTCCAGGTAAGAGGGTGAGCTGAAAAGTTCATAGGCTGACTATAAAGAACTGATGCTAGAGATGTGAAATCTTGCATGCATTCATTTCAAATCTACTTATTAATAATTGCATTGTTTCTTTCCAGGGAGGAGGGTGGGCTGAAAAGTTCATAGGCTGACTATAAAGAAGTGATGCTAGAGATGTGAAATCTTGCATGCATTCATTTCAAATCTTCTTATTAATAATTGCATTGTTTCTTTCCAGGGGGAGAGGGGGGCTGAAAAGTTCATAGGCTGACTATAAAGAACTGATGCTAGAGATGTGAAATCTTGCATGCATTCATTTCAAATCTTCTTATTAATAATTGCATTGTTTCTTTCCAGTGGGGAGGGTGGGCTGAAAAGTTCATAGGCTGACTATAAATAACTGATGCTAGAGATGTGAAATCTTGCATGCATTCATTTCAAATCTTCTTATTAAAAATTGCATTGTTTCTTTCCAGGTAAGAGGGTGAGCTGAAAAGTTCATAGGCTGACTATAAAGAACTGATGCTAGAGATGTGAAATCTTGCATGCATTCATTTTAAATCTTCTTATTAATAATTGCATTGTTCATTTCCAGGGAGTAGGGTGGGCTGAAAAGTTCATAGGCTGACTATAAAGAAGTGATGCTAGAGATGTGAAATCTTGCATGCATTCATTTCAAATCTTCTTATTAATAATTGCATTGTTTCTTTCCAGGGGAGAGGGTGAGCTGAAAAGTTCATAGGCTGACTATAAAGAACTGATGCTAGAGATGTGAAATCTTGCATGCATTCATTTCAAATCTTCTTATTAATAATTGCATTGTTTCTTTCCAGGGAGGAGGGTGGGCTGAAAAGTTCATAGGCTGACTATAAAGAAGTGATGCTAGAGACGTGAAATCTTGCAAATGCATTCATTTCAAATCTTCTTATTAATAATTACAATGTCCCTTTCCAGTTATTGAAGGTTGAAGGGGGGCTGAAAAGTTCATAGGCGGACTATAAAGAACTGATGCTAGAGATAGGAAATCTTGCATGCATTCATTTCAAATCTTCTTATTAATAATTGCATTGTTTCTTACCAGGAGGAGGGTGGGCTGAAAAGTTCATAGGCGGACTATAAAGAACTGACGCTAGAGATGTGAAATCTTGCATGCATTCATTTCAAATCTTCTTATTAATAATTACAATGTCCCTTTCCAGTTATGAAAAGGTAAGAGGCTGAAAAAAGTTCATAGGCGGACTATAAAGAACTGAGGCATGCATTCATTTCAAATCTTCTTATTAATAATTGCATTGTTTCTTTCCAGGGGAGAGGGGGGGCTGAAAAGTTCATAGGCTGACTATAAAGAACTGATGCTAGAGATGTGAAATCTTGCATGCATTCATTTCAAATCTTCTTATTAATAATTGCATTGTTTCTTTCCAGGGAGGAGGGGTGAGCTGAAAAGTTCATAGGCTGACTATAAAGAACTGATGCTAGAGATGTGAAATCTTGCATGCATTCATTTCAAATCTTCTTATTAATAATTGCATTGTTTCTTTCCAGGTAAGAGGGTGAGCTGAAAAGTTCATAGGCTGACTATAAAGAACTGATGCTAGAGATGTGAAATCTTGCATGCATTCATTTCAAATCTTCTTATTAATAATTGCATTGTTTCTTTCCAGGGAGGAGGGTGGGCTGAAAAGTTCATAGGCTGACTATAAAGAAGTGATGCTAGAGAGGTGAAATCTTGCATGCATTCATTTTAAAATCTTATTATAATTGCAATTTCCAGGAGTAGGGTGGGCTGATGACTATAAAGAAGATGTGAAATTTCTTGCATTCATTCATTTTAAATCTTCTTATTAATAATTGCATTGTTTCTTTCCAGGGAGGAGGGTGAGCTGAAAAGTTCATAGGCTGACTATAAAGAACTGATGCTATAGATGTGAAATCTTGCATGCATTCATTTCAAATCTTCTTATTAATAATTGCATTGTTTCTTTCCAGGTAAGAGGGTGAGCTGAAAAGTTCATAGGCTGACTATAAAGAACTGATGCTAGAGATGTGAAATCTTGCATGCATTCATTTTCAAATCTTCTTATTAATAATTGCATTGTTTCTTTCCAGGGAGGAGGGTGGGCTGAAAAGTTCATAGGCTGACTATAAAGAACTGATGCTAGAGATGTGAAATCTTGCATGCATTCATTTCAAATCTTCTTATTAATAATTGCTGAATTGTTCATAGGCTGACTATAAAGAAACTGATGCTAGAGATGTGAAAAGTTCATTTAAATCTGACTTATAATTGCATTGTTGCTTTCCAGAGGGGCTGAAAAGTTCATAGGCTGACTATAAAGAAGTGATGCTGATGTGAAATCTTGCATGAAATCTTCTTATTAATAATTGCATTGTTTTTTCCATGCTGAAAATTCATTTATAAAGAACTGATGCTTATTGAAATCTTAATTTCATTTCAAATTTCTTATTAATAATTTTGTTTCTTTCCAGTGGGGAGGGTGGGCTGAAAAGTTCATAGGCTGACTATAAAGAACTGATGCTAGAGATGTGAAATCTTGCATGCATTCATTTCAAATCTTCTTATTAATAATTGCATTGTTTCTTTCCAGGTAAGAGGGAGCTGAAAAGTTCATAGGCTGACTATAAAGAACTGATGCTAGAGATGTGAAATCTTGCATGCATTCATTTCAAATCTTCTTATTAATAATTGCATTGTTTCTTTCCAGGGAGGGAGGGGTGAGCTGAAAAGTTCATAGGCTGACTATAAAGAACTGATGCTAGAGATGTGAAATCTTGCATGCATTCATTTCAAATCTTCTTATTAATAATTGCATTGTTTCTTTCCAGGGAGGAGGGTGGGCTGAAAAGACTATTCATGCTAGAGATGTGAAATCTTGCATGATTCTAAATCTTAAAGAATTGCATTGTTTCTTTTCAGGGAGGGTGCTGAAAAAGTTCATAAATCTATAAAGAACTGATGCTAGAGATGAAATTC